AGGTTTTGAAATCTACGTTGTGTGATTGCACTTTGTGTCCTAGTGGAAAGTGGATCTGGAACTTTACAAACTGAAATTGTTGCGAGTTGCTGCTGTTCCATACTTGAAATGGCATCATTTACGTATAGTTCAAGATCTTTGGATTTACTAATAGCTGTGCTGATAGAAGAATTATGTTTGATTTTGGTTTTCATTTACTGTACATTACTAAACAAATTAGTAAATTACCTGAGACTGTACAGACTGTACAGTTGAAGTTAATACACAATTTAAGAAAACTAAGACTTTTATTGGAGATTAACAGTATAAAATGTTCAGTAAATCTGATTCCAACATATTGTTCTTTGAGACAGGCCCTTTCCTACAAGTGACTCAGGCAGTTTGTAAGACAAGTGCTGCAGGTAAAAGCCATCTCCAAAATCCACTAGTCTTTAATATGCAATAGACTACAGGTATGCTTCCTGTTGTATGGGAAATCTTATGAGGTATTTTCAGTATCTTTTGTGGTAGCTCAGAAGGGTCCTGTGCTTGGCAGTGTGGTTTTGTACAGACAGCCAAGAGTTGTCCAAAACAAAAAAGCTTGACAATATGATTCCCTGAAATTGTGTTGTTAAACATGAAGGGAAAAGTCCTACCATAGTGCATTCAGCATGATGGGATTTGTAGAACTCCTCTGTAAATGGTGTCACCATTCTGTGTAGTGGCCATGTGTTGTTATTGTTTTCCGCTTTCTTGTTCTTCAGCTCTTTCTGGACCATTTATGCTGCTACACAACTAGAAAGTGAGTGGTTACATAACTTGGCCCTTCCCCAAGGCTACCTGTTGCACTTCAGTTGTTTTATAAAGCAAAAAATTTCTCCTTCCTGGTGGTGTTACTGAAGTTCATTCATCTCCATTCCCTCTACAGCTGCTGAAATCACTGCTGTACAGGTACTGCTGCTTCTAGCCTGGCTTTTTTGCTCTAAACCTGAGTTGATTATGTTCCAAACACATTTTTATTAGAGATGCAATGCAGTACAAGATTATGTCTTATTCACACTTCTGTAAAAGGATGCAAACTGTGGCTTAATTCTGAATTAGAGTTGCAAGCCTTAAGGCAAGTCAAAGAATTCTGTTTGCTGTCTGGAATACATTGTAAATTCCTTGGGGCAGGAGCTTTGTTTCTGTCTGCCTGATGTGTCTTACGTGCTCATAGTTCTGTTCAAACAGAATATCTGTGTAGAGGGAGGGCTGTTTCTTTTAGTCAGTTCAGGAGAATGAGATAGATGTCAGCAAACTCTAGCCCTTGCATGTACATCTGCATTGTGAGGCAGAGAATTAGCCAATGTGCATAATCCAAGCAGGCATTTGTAGTCCATGGATTATTTAATCTATACTACACAGTGTGGGTTTGGCAGCTGGGTCATCCAGGCAGAGCATGCAGCTGATCCCCTCAGTATCATGACATGTGAGCTCATGAAGTACTTACATATGAAATCTGTTTGGGCTACTTGCAGAGATAAGGATGTAGTTCACCATATGTGGGGAATCAAGGCATTTATTAGCACACAACCTAAGTGAATTAAAATAGACTTTGAAAGTGGTGATATAGAAAGAAACAATTATTTATAAGCTGGGGTTTCAAGTTGGACTGGTTTTGATCCCCAACTGCCAGTTGGCTGTGGTGAAAAAAAACTGTGTGCGTTAACTAATTGTTGCTGTAGCCCTAAAGCTGCAGCATAAAGGCACTGTGTGTTAAGGTACAGCACCCAGCTGGAAAAACCTTCACGCATGTGGAATTTTGCATCTCACTGTTGCTACTCTTGATAGAGGATTCTGTCATCATCCTGAAGGTTGTGGCATTGAGTCTTTGACTGCTATGAATATGCTTGAACTGATCAGCTTCCTAAGTAATGTGAAGTCTGCCCATAGCTAAACTGGAAGTCTTGCAAAAAGTCAAGGCTCTTTTTTTTTTAGTCCTATAAAATGACAAAAGAACACTCTCAGGTCATACTGTCTGTCTTTGGAATATGTGGAAGAAGATTAAACTTCTGAAAGTCACTTTGATGCTTCCAAGAATTTTAGCTTTTTGGCCTGAAAAGTATTTCGTTTGCTTGTGCCACACTTCTATCTCTGAATTTGTAAAGCCAAACAGTCCCAGTAACTAAGTAACAGCACAGCTGAATGTTTTCATAAAAACAACGTTGCTGCTTAGAGATGTGATTTACTACTTAAGTGTCTGTCTGTACATATATACAGAGGCAAAAAGTGATGATGACCTCATCTTAAACAAGCTCACAAAAGCAGCCTTAGTTTTATAGTCTCCCAGCCAAAGACAATGTACTGTAAGCAGACAGAACTCCGTTGACTTCAGTTGCAGGATCATCATTAATGTCAGTACTCACTTAATTGCTGACATAATCCTGTTTGTAATGATCAATGCTTGAAATGTAAATCTAAAAGAAAAAATGGATTATCTTGCATCTTTTCTGATATCTTAACAGAGAGGAAAGAAGGAGAAACTAGTTAATAGCAGGATTTTACAAGTAAATATGATTTTTTTTTTAAATTTTGATATTGCCTTGTTAGCAGGCTGTTCTTAAATGGATTTAACAGCATTCAGACCGTGCCTTTACTTAAATCAGTTGCAAGTGATGATATATTGCAATTACTACACATACAAAACAGACCTGCATATTTTCTAACCTATTAAAAAAAAGCATCTTCCAGTACTTCTCTCTGGCAAAAGTTTCTAGAAGTCATGTTCCTCTGTTCTGTTCAAACAAGATTTCAGGTCACAAGCATAATAATCTGATAAATTCTAGTAATTTTTAGATGCTGCATGGAGCTCTCATTTCACCTCATACATTTCATGTATTCAAAATATTTAAAATCTACAAATCTTACACTTGCATGCTCGTACTGAAACAGTTATTAGTCTTTACCAGAAGGAAAAAATTCTATTTGTGTAATATTTATTGATGTTAAACCCACATTATATCAGCACAACAATCCAAAGTAATGATTATACATTTTTATAAATACAAATAAAAGGTGGCAAAATAATGCTAGTGAAGCTAAACAAAAAAGTAAATTAGCATGTCACAGTTGAGGAAAATTTGGCAAAAGATATGACATACTTCTAGAATAGAATCAAATTATTCTTAGCTGACAAACTATGACGTTAATCTAGATTAACGATCCCCATTACTGGTCATATCCTGCACCAAAATAGTACTACCTTGTGTTTATTAGTCACTAAAAAACAAAACAAACTTTGTGTGCTTACAAAGCAATACACGTATAGCAGTAATGCAATATATGGTGTACACAGTTACAAAATTAAAAAAAAAAAAAAAAAAACAAAAAAACAAACCCAAAAAATCCCTAAGGACTTCTGAATAAATGAACTGAGATAGAAGATTTCAATACTTTTATTATAAATAATGAAAGATACCATATATGTGCTTCATATAAGGAATACAGTGTTTTCCTTTCCTAGCGAAGTATTGTAGCTCGTACCATCAAAACACTCATTTTTCTTGTCAGGCCTAGTAATTCTTCCATCCCTCCCTCTCCTTCAACTGAGATTCATTTTGTTCTAATTTAAAACTACCTAGTCAGGTGTGACGTAAATGGGGCTCCACACTGACGTGGATTTGCCTTGCATTCTGAAAGTAGCCTTCAGGCTTTTCACCTATGGTGTACAGACTCTACCCTTTAAGAGCTGTCATTTGCCTGCAGTCAAGAGAAGGAAAAAATAAAATCTACCAGAGATACATGCTATGTTCAGAAGAAAAAACAAAAAGGAGCACATTTCATGTAGTTTTTGTCTATCTTCATTTTCTACTTCCTCAGATCTGCAAGCCTATCACCTCTGATGTATACATGTCACTTAAATTTGTATTGCAGTTTCAACCCATTTTTCACTTACTGTACATTTCTAAAATCCTCATACATAGTACACAAGATTTAAACAGTTGAACATCCCATACATACGCTCCCTAGTTTTCAGCTCACCTTAGAATTTCAGATTCTTGAATGGGAGTATTATGAGGTTACAGACTACCTTCAGGAAATCCACAGTTTCAACCTCTTGCCCAGTGCCCCTCCCACCCCTTGCAGTAACCCACTGCAGTGGTTCCTACGGTCAGCATTTTTTTCCCATCTAGTTACCAATATGTGTAATCTGAAGTAGACTGTTAGTACATGTCAGCTCTTCTTTGTTATTGTGCAGAAGTTAAATTACTTCTGCTTAGACTGCCTTTGCTGTACGTTTGTAAGTAAGCCCCCTCCTAGATAGCAAAAAGGAAAAACACAAATGAATTGTAAGTTAGGATGTTGATGTCCATACTAACAGCATTGAAGGCAAGATATTTTTTTCACTGTTGAACAGAAAGCAGTTTGCAGAGATACAGCATTTGCTTACATTTCTCTTCCTTGTCCCTTCCTGTTTTATTCTTGTAATATTGCACTTGTTCATTATAGCTGTCAGAACATGTTGCCATTTTAGAACTGTCGATAATCAGACATTCTCATTTTCTTTGTGATCTAACGGCCTTGAAGAAAACATCTTTCACCATTAAGATTGTGGTAGCATCTACTTACTGCTTATGAAGCATGTAATGAAAAATAGTGTTCTCTTTGAAAAATCTGTCTCTCTGATGTATTTTGGCATCTATGAAAAGGGTTATGAAGCAATGTAGGTTAAGGAACCGGTGAATGTGATTTGTTGTGCAATGTGTACATTCCTATTAATAATCTATCTATTCTTCTAATTTGGTATAATGAATAAGGAATATATGGTTATTGTGTTTGTTGTTTATCTTTTGTACTTGAAGGTGTCTGCCCTTGCATAAAGTGACATAGGAGTATCATTGGTCATGGCAATGGCTTTCAGTGTTTCTGCTTTGAAAGAAAACGATGGAAGCGGCAGTTGAATCTACAGATCATCACTCTCTACCAGGCCAGGTTGCATTGTCAGGTGGACTGGATTTGCTTCCGGCTGGAAAGCTGCTTTGATGTCTAGTCCTTGGTCACAAAGTGCAGCGTATCGGCTGGCTGAGGGCCGCACCTTCTTTGGCTTGGTTGTCTGAGGTGGTTGTTGCCACTGAGCTGTAGATTAAAAAGGAAAGACAAAATGTTAGCTCTCTTGAGCTGTGCATCAAAGCATGCCAGATGCTCAATTAACCCTTTGTAAGGGGTTACTAACTTTGTAAAGAAGTTACTAACTTCTGAGCAGCAGAAAACCATTATATCAAAGGTAAGTTTGTTTAATTTCTTGGCATTGTTTTTTTTTTCTCCCAACATCTAGTTTCACCTTCAGATGTGGTAAGCCAAAACAACAGGGTCTGTGTTTGTTACTTTTTGGCATTGTTTTGTACCTTTCCTAGTGCCACTGAGAAGGGTGACAGCAAGGAGGTTGTTTCCGGGCACTCATATTACAGTAACAGGCTTGTTCTAAGGTTATTTGTTGTATTTAAAAGGAAATGATCTGGCTGCCCTTGCCAACCCTTGTATGCTGAAGAACACTGAGCCAAGTCTGTATTTCACCGCCCCAGAAATCATCCTTTATCATTCCAGTGTCCCCCCTTCCATCTTCCCTACCCCGCCTTAATTCTTGTTACGAGAAGACTGGTAAGAGATACTGCTTTAAGAAAACATTCACTATGTGAGGGAACAAACTGAGTAATTAAGCAGAAAGCTGTAAAAACATCTACTACACTTCTGGTAGCTGTCACAGGTGTATTACAGACTAATGTACAAAAGAATACAAAAGGTTAGGGAGGTGCTAGCAGAGCAGTAGTAATAATGATCCACAGAAAGAATGTAGTCATGCCGTTATCTGTTATTAATTAGCTATATTTAATGTACTAAGCAAAAACAGAAAGCATGCACTTGTTTTAGGTATCTGAAAGATGGTGAAATGTACTTTGACAGAGCATTTGTTGTCTTGAAGTGGATGTTTACTATTGAGGAGAAACTATAAACAAAAGAAAGAGAGACCAATGTAAACCATTCTGTGAACAAACTAAAACTTATAGAACTATTGCTTTTTGGGGGATTTATATGATCATGAAAATTGAAATCACTTACTATAAACATCCAACCTGGCAGTGCAAGACACAATCCCAGCCTCATTCTTAGCTGAAACAGTGTACCAGCCAGCATCCTCCTTTGTAGCTCCCTGAATAAGCAGGCAAATGTAGCCGTAGTTATCTTGGTGCATGCTAATCAAAAGAAAAATAGAAAATTACTATTTAAATTGCCAGACAGTGTAGACTATTTTAAAGTGTCATTATAAACTGATCCAATCTTAGTTACAGATTACTTATAGTCCACTTTTAATTAATATGGAAATTAGCAAGTAGAAAATAAAACCTTGAGTATGCTTAGCAATTTGAAATTGAAATTGAATTGAAAACTGATAAGAAAAAAATGCATGAAGTAACTTCTCTTTTACAATTACAGATTAAGACATCTGGAGTAGCAGGGACACCAGATCTTACCCAAATTTTTTGAGGAAATGATAAAGGAACTTGAGGAACATCTTAGAATTTAAAATACTGAATCTTAGTTTCTTGACTATACAGCAGAATTATGAATCAAAGTTTCTGCTGAAAAGCAGATAGCATTCCTTAAGAGCCTTGATTTTTCACTAGCAAATTTCTGTAAGTCTTGGTTCTGGAAGAGAAAAACTGGCTTGCCACTTGCTTGAAGTGCAAAGGTAGTTGTATAAGTCTAATGATGGAAAACAAGTAACATTTTACTTTGGCTCAGCTGCCATGTTGGCTGCAAGTTTGAGTAAATGTTATAAATTATTACAATCACTAGTTAATATTTATGAGATACTGTTCACACGAAGCATTCTTCTGACCTTTTCAGTTTTTATTTGTGTTACAGGATATATCATCATTGAAATTACACAGGGGGAGATTATTCTAAGACAGTCTAACCTCACTCGGTCAGTGTTGTATGTGAGTGACTCATTCTCTTTCTTCCAAAATATCTGAGGAGATGGCTCCCCCGAGATTCGACACTCCAGTCGCACCGGGAATCCCTCAGTCACACCTGTGTTTTGTAGCTTTTCTATAAACACAGGTGCTTTTTGTACTTCCTTAGCTGTGAAAATAAAGATTGCAGTTATGTTGACACTAGTCTGTGAAAACATAGCCCTTCTTTCAGCAGCATGCTAAAAACAATAATGAAAGACCTCAGTGGCAGGAAACATAAGTGTTGTCTTCATTAAATACAAAGTTCACTTGTGGTTCCTCTGAAGAAAACAGTCACATCCATATTTTAGTAGGGGAAAAGTGCACGCTAAAAGAGCTGATTCTTCCCCAGAAGAATTGAAATGTAGAGCATGAAGACTAGATAAACTGGCTGCACTATGCTTGGTAAAAAGTGCTCCTTGATATTCCATAAAAGTGTGGACTTCTAATTGTAGAAGGAACTGTTCTACCAGAAGTCTGCAGTGGCATTAGTCTGATATGTTGTGAAATGCACAGGTCATATCCTGCTGGCTGCTCGGCAGTTAGCGCGCATCTAGATTGTCATTAAGAAAAATATTCATGGAAATCATCTGGTTTGTGGCCTCAGCCATGCCTCAGGCCAGCAGCCCTTCTTTCTTAACTGTGTGCACAGATACTACATGCCAGTCAACTTATGCCACAACATAACAAATATCTCACCTACAAATATACCATAGCTCTGTTACTGCCAGGTTTCCTTTTCTTACCCCCTACCCCTCAATCACATCCTTTGATGTCACTTATGTTTTCTTTATTGAAGTGCTCAGTGCTCAGCCTGAAAGCTTAGCATGAAGATGTTACCTGCAACAGTGAGCTCCAGGCTGAATGTATTTTCACCAGCTCGATTGCTGGCAATGCATGTGTAGATTCCAGCATCTCTGGATGTGACTGGTTCTATGATCAAGGAGTGCACACCATTCTCACGCACTAACATTTTGTGAGAACTATCAGGGCGAATTGGTCGTCCATTAAGTTGCCAGCTTAAGTCTGGAGTCGGTAATCCACTAACCTTGAGTATAAGGAAAATAATGGGAAATTGTTTTAGCCACATGAGACACTGGAGGAGACCTGACTTGTTACTTCAGAGAAGTTTGGTGGTGTTTGCTACCACAGGTGTACCAAAAGTTTTAGAGATCTAGTTCTGTCCTGATTTACACGTTGAGTCAATTGTATTCATTTACTTACTTTCTGGCCAGCTCCTTGAATTCCATGATGTCTTATGGGCATGACTGAAAAAAGATCAGTGTTTAGCTAGGCTAGAAGCTAAATAATAATACACAGCAAAACAAAAGGCAAGGTGACACCTTTTGTCTTTTTTTATTGTTTGCTCTTCAAGTGGAATGAGAAGATACTCCTTTCTAGATTAACTTCTTGTTGGAAAACTTGCAGACAAAAAGATGTTAGCTGACTAATTACTGAACTCTTAAGTTCCATTCCACTTAGGTGTAACCTAGTGACAGCACTGCCTGCACTAGTTAATACTAGTCTGTGTCAACAAGTCTTGTACTTTTGAAAGCTGTGCCACTTGCTGTGGGGACTGCTCAAGAACAAATAGCTTCTCCCAAATAGGTCAGCATAGTCACCCAAGCCTGCATTATTTCTGTCGAGCAAAGTCATTAATCAGGATTATATTGTTTGAAACTTTAACAGGAGTTCAAAACTCAAGGAGTAAAAGGACTTAAAATGGAGAGGCACACTGTCTTTGTAGCATGTGCTGCTTCCCTCCACACCCCAGCATAGCTGAATTCTATAAATCAGTTTACTGTGTGCCCGAAGCACTGTCATTGGAGGGGAGGCAAACTTTTATTGCGCACTTACTCACTCAAAAGAAGGGAGATTAATTAACCTACTGACAGGCACTGAAACTGGCAATAGGCAAAATAATTTCGAAAAGAAACAAGTGTGTTTTTTGAGTCAGCTAATGTTATCAAAAGGTTGCTGCTACCCTTTGTGTGACACTTGCCTTGCAGTCCATCCTGCATAGTTTTCCTTCTTGAACAGTCAGGTCTCCAGGAGCCTGCAGAAAATGAGGCCGGAAGAATCGTTCCTGAATTGGTTCATTTTCATCACCACTGTCCCTTGATCGAGATCGTGGTCTTAAAATAACATGAAACAAAGTTAAATTATTTTTTTTCTTTGCTAAATCAGAAAAACCATTATCACTTATAAGACTACTTTGAATTTTAAACTATTTCTCTGACCTATCACTCTGTATCTACACACAGGCACTGGTAGCATTTGCTCCAGACTGAATTAATTATAACACTGTACTTATTAATTACTTTCATTTAATTCACATGTTGTGGCAAAATATGACCTATAAAATAATCTTGCTACAGAATAACTTCTTGTAATATTAATTAATTTTATATACATGAGAGTATTTTTGTTTACAGTTAGTCTTTAAATCACTGACATAGAAATAAAATAAGTTGACAGGTCTTGGTATGTAGCTTCAGTTCCACATTTCTAATGTCCTGTGTATTTAGTCCCCTCACTGTTGCTGATGAGACCAGAAAGTACATGTACTGTTCATTCATTGTGGTTCCCTTTCAGAAAATAACAGCAGCTAAAAGCTAACTCATCTCAGTTGAGAAAAGACTTTTCACATCAGACTTATCTTCTCTTGTTCTGCACTAGAAAATTGTGTGTATTGAATTGCTGTGGATATTTATTCCTCATTTAACACTTTTTTTTGAGATACTCTTGAACATTTTCAAAGCCACCAAATATTGGTATCAAAACAATGAGGATTTCAGTTGTGAGCAATAGGAAGAAAAACTTTGGTTGTTAATTTTTTTCCACGATATCATTTAATCCATTTTCAGCATTGGCTATTCTTGTCTGTTAATTTAATCTACCAAATCTTTTTCTAATTGGTTCCTGACTTAACTGGATTTTTTTTCCATTGAAATTAGCATTATTGCATTTTGTGTGATTTTGTAATCAAAGAAACTTGAAACAAAATTTTAGATCCCTTTTTGTCCTTGCTGATCAGCTCCATTGGGTTCTGTTCTGGAGCCAGCTGCTGCTTACAGTAACATCCCATGACAGTGAAGAGGAACTATTCAAATATCCTCCAAGATCACTTGGCATATTACAGTAAAATTCTCTTTTCTGAATCCCATGTTCTGTTAATTTTTGCCAGTGTTTCTCTTTTGGCTGGTGCCTGCAGTGTACATGCTTCAGTATAGGTGCCTATACTGCATTTTCTACTGCCCAGGGGCATTTCTTTAGGTTAAAATAATTCACAACAAAAAAAACCTTAAAACCTTCAATGGTCACATTTGGATGTGACCTACTGTACTACTGTATAGAAGTTAAACATTCCAGCTGCACACTGTGCTCCATTGAGGTTGTGGTTAATTATGGTTGCTTGAATTTGATTTATTTTGTTCTGCTCTGTTGTTGTGCTTTTCTCTGCTTTTGCTCTGTTTGAATTCTGGCCAGTCATCACCTTTGCTACAGTATTATTTGTCATTAATAGATAAATGTTGACTTCTTAATCATTCCAGTTTTCCCACAGCTATAAGTAAAGGCAAAACAAGGGTCAGGGTAGTTGTGTAGATACCTAGTCCATAATGCTTAATAATGTAGCACTGGATAACTGAAATGGGAAACACAGACTGACATCTCTGCACACACTAAAATAAAAGCTTATGTAACTCTTCAGGTGCCTAAATCCAGGTCTGAAGCACCTCATAGTTTTTACCACTTGAACATGTCTAAAGCTACTTCAGTAGCTCCAGCATTGCAGCTCATAAGCAACATGAGGTTTAGTTGGTGAGTTCCTCACCAATTTTGCAGATGTACATGCCTAATGTGCATGCAGAGGGGATGGAAGACGGAGGGTTCTGCAAGACCAACTAGAAATGATGGTATCTAGTCAAGTGAGTGCTGCACAGTGCAAGCAACTTGTGCAAAATCTGCTTCCACAGTAATCACGTGCAGCCTGTTTAGAGACTGTTGGTAAGATGCCAATGAAGTACAAGTAACTAGTGCTTTGTAAGTTCTTGTGAGGCTGAGCCAAACAGGTTAACTGGCATCTCTGGAGTATGAGAGCCACCATCTCATTGCTGCAGCTGCATGAAAAGGCAGCAGTGGTGAAAACTGGGGGAGAAGAGGAGGGGCAGAAATTTATGCCAAATAAAATGGAAAACAAAAATGTTAATAATTTATGACCATAGATGTTTCATTTCTTTAAGTTTACCCCAAAATGGACTACTTTTTGAGCCTTTACCTTGAGAGGTGAAACCAATATTATTTTAATTCTAAAATATTTTGTAGTTTTAAAGAAATAATGAGTAGAGCCAAGTGCTTCAGATGTCTAGGAATGACAAATGGCAATAGACTGGAATACCCTTGGATTCACTGTGGGCTCTTTAGAGTTGTGCTGAGGGCATCACATTGCATGGATTAGTTTCAGGAGAACTGACATCATGTACTGAGTGTGTGCAGGGGAGATTCCATGGGTTAGTATGGCACAATGCACTAGGAATTTCAGTGAGCAAGAAGCTGGAGAAGACTTCATGACTGACCATACAGTAATGATCACTACTTTGGAAAAAAAGAAGATTAAGTAACAATTAATCCCCTAATTGAGAGCAGGGAGATAGGAATGTTTAGTTTAAAATCTTCCTTAAATCTCATGCATTTTAAGATTTGCAATTTGCAATTCTGATTTATTTGCAATTCTGACTGCCATGCTTAGGTGACACAAAGTTGAGCACCATGTCATCTAAGGGATTGAGTCCAAGCTTTGTACAGGTCAGAAGATTCAAAAGTACCCTCCCCGACACTCCAAGTAATACTTAGAAGGTGATGTTTGTCAGCTAAGCAAATTTTAGAAAAACACATTAAGAGCGAAAAAACCCTCAGAGTTCTGCCAGAACACATTCTGTAAGAGATTAAATATACTCCAGGAAAAAGACTGTCAACAGTGTAACAGGTCATAAAGTTCATTAAGCTAATAATTACACTTGTAATAAAAAAAAAAAAGTTTTGTTGCTCTGAAGCAGAAAAGCAAATATAAATAATACTGTAATGCTACAGGAATGTTACTTATCAAAAGTCTATGGCAATAGATGTGACAAATATCACAGTGTATGGGGGAGCACAGTATTTTG